ATGTGTTCTATTGGTATTTTCATTGGAATTTCATTGGCATTTTCAGATAGGAATTTATTTCTGTTTTATTTTTTAGACTTTGTAAACCAAAATAGTTGATGTTGAAAATTTTGATGCTTTTTTATAAACACTCAATAAATATTAAAAATTCAATACTTTATTTTGTGAATATTTTTTTCCTATTAAGCACTCTCTGTTTAATAATAAAACTCATAAAATTAACATTAATAATTCATCAATAGAATTATTATAAAGAATAGATGTATGGGGCCGGGGATTTAGCTCAGTGGTTTCACTGCCTGCTGCGCAAGTGCAAGGACCCGAGTTTGATCCTCAGTACCCGAAAAGAGAATAGATGTGGATTTTGTACAGCCTTCAGTATGTTCCTTTAACACAAAATTGCTGAGATGCCCCAAGGGGAAGAAGATGAAGTCCTGGACACCAAGAAGCTCCCCTGAGTGGTGCAGTTAGGAATTCAACTTCCAGTTGTAGGGGCTGTGAGTGTAGCTAGTGTGACAGAGCACTTGCCTAGCTTGGGAGAGGCCCTGGGTTTAATGCCTAACACCACAAAAAAGGTCTCCTTTTTTTTGGTGCCGGAGATTGAACTCGGGACCTTGTGCTTGTGAGGCAGGCGCTGGAACCACTGAGCTAAACCCCCAGCCCAAAGGTCTCCTTTTTGATGAAAGGAAAGCATCAAAAAAAATTATGGCTTCTAATGCTCTCTTGAAATGTGAGTCCTAGGCCAAGGCTGCTCTTCATGTATAAAGCACTATCTATATTCTCACCATGCAGAGATACAGTAGCCACCTACAATGAACATTTTGGAACACATATTTTTCTATACATCTGTGTGTGCATGCGCATGTGCACAAGCATCGTATGTGTGTGTATATATATATATATATATATATATATATTCATAGAGGAGGGTGTGTGTGAGCATCCAGACATCTTAAAGAATGAGATTTTCCCTTAATACTGTTTTACATCCTGCTAATTCACTTACTAGCATAATATGGACTTCTTTCAACATAATACATTCAATACTGATCAATATATTCAAAAGTGTTTTGTTTTGAAGTCTCCTAAAAACAATTTTTTCTTAAAATAGAAACAAATTTTCAAAGGTACATGATGATGGATACAGTGAAAGGTGAGTTTTTTTCCAGAAAGTAGAGAGGCAAGTTCCACTTGCCTGGGTAACCACTATCATTGATTTTTTTGTGTATTTATCATCATTATTTTTAAATTATATATTTATATAGATATATATTTTTATTTCCCTTTTCTTTCTTTTTGTGCTGGGAATTGAATTTAGGGCATTATAGGCACTACATATATGTTCTACCACTGAATTACACCCTCAGTTCTAGATACATTCTTTTAAAAAAAATGCTAACATTCTATATAGACTTCTGCATTTTGCTTCCCACTCTTATATCTGGAGTACATTTCTATATTTGTATATATAATTGATTTTATTTTTAAAATAGCTGCAAATCATATTAGCATGTAAATGCATCATAGTTGGTCTCTTATAGCTAGAAATTTAACAATCATTTGCTATTAGAATCAGTTCTGCCTCTATACATGTGCCTTTTGCACATGTCTAGAAACACACTTAGGCTGCATTTCTAGAAGTGAAATTGCTAGGTCAAAGTATTTTAAATTTCAATAGTTATTGCCAAATTGCTCTTTATCATGTTCATGACAATTTAGTCTCACTGATGATAAATACATGAAACTATTTGCTTTCACATCTTCTTACTAAAACAGTATGTTTCTCACACTTTTTTTTTTTGGTACTGGGGCTCGAACTTGGGTCCTTGCGCTTACGCAGCAGGCGGCAGAACCACTGAGCTAAATCCCCGGACAACACTGGGATATTAATAGACTTGTTATAAAATAGGTAAAAGATTTTATGTTTTAAGAACTAATTATATTTCCTATTCTGAGAGTTGTTTATAACATTTACCTCTGTTTTCTACTGGGCTTATTATTCTTTTTGTTACCAGTGATCGAACTCAGGACCTAGAACTTGTGAGGCAGGCACAGTGCCACTGAGCTAAATGCCCGGCCCTATTCTTTTTCTTCTTGATTAATATCTGGTAGGATATTACTCCTAGATGTGTTTTTATTTGCATTTTGAATTAGCTTGTCTATTTCTGTTTCAGTCTGGTTTTTGTTGTTGTTGCTGTAGTAAAATACTTTAGGCACAGTACTTTATTAAAATAAAGGTTTATTTGGCTGACAATTTTGAAAGCTGAAAGTCTAAGTTCAGGTGGTTCTATTTGTTCAACCTCTGGCAAGTGACTTTCGGTGGCCATGAACAACGTGGTGGAAAAGCAGAAAAGGACACAGCCACATGCAAAAGGGGCCCATTTACATGGGGTAGTCTGCTCTCCTGAGTACTAATTTGGTTCTGGAAGAAGTACATTAATTCCTCTTGAAGGTGGTGCCCCGTGACTTAATAACTGTATTAGTTACTTTCTCATCACTGGGACACAATACTGGACACCCACAATTTAAATCAGGAAAGGTTTATTTTGGTTCACAGTTTGTAGAGCCACAGTTGCCTGGCTCTAAGGCAGGGTGTCACGACAGAGGGGGATGGCAGAAGAGGCTTACTCATGACATAGCTGCAAAACAGAGATCAAGGGAGGTGGGAGAGTGATACACCTTTCCAGGCCACACCCCCAGCAACCTGCCTCCTCCAACCAGACTTCATTTCCCTAGTCACATTTAGCTATAAACTCATCAGGAGACTAATCTACTGATGAGTATCACATCTCCCATGAGTGTCATATCCAGTCCCCCCCCCCAAGCCTATGTGGCTCTGGTGTGTGTGTGTGGGGGATCTAGATATAAACCATAACAATCACCTTCTACTAAGCCTCAAGTTTTAAAGGTCCAAGTACTTCTTAACATCACCACACTAGGAACCAAATTTTGAGCATATACACCCACGTGGGACACACCACATTCTTACCATACATTATATGGCTTGGTACTTTCCCACTCCAAGTGTACTACCCCTTCCCTGCCAACTGAGCTACAGTGTAGGCAACTGAAAATGGCCAGCCCAACTATCAGTCAACAGATTTCTAGTTAGTCCATATCCAGGAGGAGCACAATAACGAAGGCAAGAAAGCAAAGCCATAACTTCAAAGGAAAGAGACACTTTGTCTTCATCTGATTTGACAGCTTAGAGGAGTCATTCTACTTACCAAGAGATGGCTAGCCTGCTACATGACCCATTTGGTTCTTGCCTTCCTTATTGCTTTGTTCAGATTCATCAGCAACCCCACTCTCCAACTCTTTTACATCAGTGCCTCAAGGAAGTAGAAGCTTGTCTTCATAAAATGTGTGAGGACATCTCTTAAATATAGCTCCAGGGAAAAAAACCAGTTTCACTCACTCTACTCCATTTAATTTGCATTTATTGAGTAATAACCATAGTTCAAGAAGTTTGTAGTGTTTTGTGGATAATTTGATCTATTTTCCCAACATGCTCTGCTCTCCATTCCTCTCCTACTCCTTTTTTGTCTCCATGGCCTAGAAGGTCCGCCATGAGTGGTGAAATTTTAGACCAGATAGAATATCATCAACTAGGTGCAGACTCCTGAAACATCAACAACATTGGCTCAAGAGATTGTAAGTGCGTGTGCCGAGTACATGCTCCATTAATAGTCAGTTAATAGCACACAGTTAAAATATAAAAAGCCATTCTTATCATTAAGCATCACCAATTAGGCAATCTCAAAAAATGGTGGTCCTGTTTGGTTTGTGATATATACTCTAATTTGGTATGTATCTTAGAAAAGTTTTCTTCTTTTTAAACATTTTTTGAGAGATTAAACTTTCTCAGCGTCGTTAGCTCACCAAGTCATTTTGTGACCCGAGTGACTTTGGCAATAAAACAATAATGAAATGCTTGGAGACAGTTGTTTTCCTTATGTGGTTTAGCATCCTCAAGGGACCTAATAAATATTCAGCAAGTGATTAAATGGTTCATCCCCACATGTGTCCTTTGCATATCTATGCCAGCTACTCTTTCACAAGTAGTTTTACTTGGTAATTTACAAATGTTCTGGCTGCACTCTGTACCTGCCAGCATTGAAGTAATTAGCTTAGGATGCAAAATGATTTCTAAATTAAGGTTCTGGACTATTAAAATCAAGAAAGCCTGCTAATCATCAATGTAGCTCTGATAGCCAGTGAATAACGAGATAAAAAACTAGGAGAAGCCCTATAACTCTCCTACCTGGTGATAATGCTGGTCACCCATTAGAGGCCCATACAATACGCAGGTGAACTGTAGGTCAACAATTGAAGGTAGTTAAGAGGGTCAGTACTCAATTATTTAAAATCTTTCCCTTTCTCCTGTCTACATACAGCATGAAGGTTTAGGGATTGGACATTTTAGGACACACGATTAGAGTTACATTTTAGCCAGGTAAACCTCAAACTGGTACAGGCGAAAACGTGGGCGTCGTACCCTGGAGATCGGAAGGGACCCCCGCCCTGCACCAGGTAGGCACAGGGAAAGTGAGCATCCGGAGTGTCGGACCCACAGCCCCGGTCCAGGACGCGGGCTCCTCTGGGGCAAGCAGGGGGCGCGGAATTTTGACCCCACAAAGGAGAGAGGAACGAGGCGAAAGAAGAGCAGGAAAGAGTCGGAGTGGGAGGAGAAAAGGAGGGAAAGAAGGAGGCCGGGAGAGGCGAGCGGAAGAAGAGGAGGAGAATAAAGAGAAAGGAGAGCCGCGCGGAGGAAAGGGAGGGGAAAAAAAAGGCAGCGGAGGAGTCGGGACCCGCCCCTCTGGGATTCCTCCGGGCTCCCAAACTCCGAGTCCGCAGATTCCTCCCAGTGTGCGACTCCTCGTTGGAAGTCCGGGCGCGGACTCCACCAGGGCAGCGCCGCGCTCCCGCCGGCCTCGCGCGCCCCCGCTGGCTCCGCGCGCCACCACCCCTGCCCGCGCGCCCTCGCACACCGGGCATGCGCAGTGGGCGGCGCCGCTCCGGGCCGCCTCCGCCACCGCAAGTAGGAAGCGCGAGCGCCAGGCGCCGAGCTGTCAGTGAGCGTGGGGCCAGCAAGCGAGAGAGCGGCTCCGGCTTTGCTCCGCGCCGCGCCGACCCGACGCTCCCGGGCCAGTGCCGCTTTCGCGCCTGCTCTCCGAGACCTCGGCCACCTGCCTGCGGTCCCGCCGCCCCTCCCCCGCCCGCCCCCGCCCTCCCGGGCTGCTGCTCCCCGGCGGAGGCGAGAGGTGGCTGGGGGGACCATGGCTGACGTTTTCCCGGCCAACGACTCCACAGCGTCTCAGGACGTGGCCAACCGCTTCGCCCGCAAAGGGGCGCTGAGACAGAAGAACGTGCACGAGGTGAAGGACCACAAATTCATCGCCCGCTTCTTCAAGCAGCCCACCTTCTGCAGCCACTGCACCGACTTCATCTGGTAGGTGCGCGCGGGCCGGGGGCACGGATGGGCACCCCGGACCCCTCGCGCGCGCTCCAGGCTGGGGACCAGTCTTCCCCCTGTCCGAGGTTCCGTCCTCGGCCCCCTAGGTCCGGGCGCGTCCACCCCAGGGCTGACTCACTCGGAGAACTTGGAGAGCCCACAGGAGTCCGAACTCTCCCGGAGTGACACGCGCTCGCCCGGCCGTCCCGGCCACTGGCACACACGCGGTGGGACTCGCGGGGAAGTCGCCACCCCGCCACACGCCCCCTGCCGCGGGCGGGAGGCGGACTCCGCGCGGTGGAGACGGGTCTCCCCGCAGCCAGGGTCCCCCTTCTGCCCAGACGCACCCGCCTTCCAGTAGACGACAGCCCAGCAGCCGTTTGCCAGGGAGTGAGGAGAGGGGAAAGAAAGAGGAGACTCGCGAGGGCTGAGTTTCCCATAGAAACACGCCCTGGAGTAACTGGGGAGCGGCGGCCGCTGCGCTGCGCGCTGTCCAAGTTGCTGGCGAGCCGGGCTGGGCGCGTTCCGGGAGTGTGTTTGTGCCTCCCATTGGGCTGTGACTCCGCTAGAACCTTGGGTCTCTGCCTACTGTAAGCTGTGTCTACTGGGCACGGAGACTTTGACTTTTCTGCGTGAGGAGAGAGACAGAGAGAGAGAGAGAGAGAGAGAGAGAGAGAGGAGCAGCAAACTGTTGAAAGCTTCCAGTGGGGGAGGGAGGGAAAAATAGAGCAGACAAATGGCAGAAGGGCAGAGGGAGTCTTTTAAAATAGACCCTGTCAACACGAGATTAGACCCGTAACCCTGTTGATGAGGACAGAGAACTTGTTTAAAAAAAAAAATACTGTAATGACTAAGGGTGCCAGAGTTCAGGTAAATTCCAAAACATGTAAGCATTGTTAACTTGAGGAGTGTGGGGCCTTGTGGGGGATTAATAAATGGAAGGGCTTCAGGGCTCTCTGGACCTGTAAAGCTAGGTGAAGTTGTGTTCGTTTACATGTTTTGTTTTCCTGGTGAGAGAATTATAGTTTTCATCTGACTTTTAAAAATCAGCAACGCCCCCCCCCCCAAAAGAAAGTTCAGAAAGCTAGAACTAAGGGAACTTGTTGTCCTCTGGTTTGGGTAGCAGTAGTTTTTATATTCTCCTAGGACACCCTGACCCTTGTACCTCTTGTTTGTGGGGGTAGGAAGTTCTCCTCCTGTCCTACCCTGGGAGCTGCACAAGGTGCCAGTGCCACAGAACGTCCATGCTCCAGCCACCCTTGTGAACACAGGCTGGATGGTGCAGTCTGAGTCCATCCTATCTGGGGAAAAGCATCTCAGAGGGAAAGTCCCATGAATGTCAAGCTAATAAGGTGCTTCATTTTCCCTTTCTTTAGAAATCGTTCGAAAGCACATTTATGAAAAGCACAGGCAACTCTATGAATGATTTCCATCAGGTAGTCAGCATTTGCAGGAATTGTGCTGAGACGAATGGGTAAAAGGAGATAAGGCTATTTAAAATGAGTTTCGGGCACATCAAGGAAAAGAGAGGATATTGGATTCGGATAAGGGGAAGTCTTGAGCTGTGAGATTCTGTTCAGAGGGGATAGACTGCTAATTACTTTCACAGAAAGTAGATAAGTTAGAAAAGGGACATGCAGTTTTACCTGGGCTACTATCTCTTCACTATCAGTGCCCTGAATGATCAGCCTGGGGAAACTGTTGAGGCATGCCTGTCATCTGGTGTACTGTGAGGTGGAAAATGAAGACCTCTTTTCCCCCCCTCCCAGAATAATCCCTGCAGTACTTCTCTGCTTAATCTAACTTGGAACTGTTTCCAGGAAAGCCTCTGATTGTTTTGCAGTGGGCTTAATTTTCCAGTTTCATTATTGCTTCTATGATTCCTTGATTTATAAGTTGTATTTCAATACTCACTGATATTTTAAAGCTAAGTGTTTGGATTTAGGTGTGGTGTTTGGGGGATTGACTAAGTGTGACAGTGTGTGAAGTGCCTTGTACACTTAAAATGCCGTGTAAAGAATGAGATTATGACAGCCTTCTGAGAAAAAAATGAATGCAGTTCATTCTAATACGTATTTACAATCGAATATCCATGTCAGGATTCTCTGCTTACAGAGTAAATTCCTTAAAGTCATTTATAAGAACAAAATAACCTCTATAAGCATTGACTGCTATTGGTTCTCAATAAAAATTAGATCATGATAATCTCAAATGCAAACAACAGAAATCATATTTTATAAAATCTGGTTCCTCAAGCCAAAATTAAATGTTAAGAGTGGTGCTGTTTGGCACTTGTATACACATAATATTTTGAACAAATGCAAAAGCCACCTTTTAGTTGTCTTGAGGGAGAAAAAAATTTTCAGTTGATCTTTAGAAACAAAATTAAGTCATTAAAATATCATAAACCCTTTTTTTGTCACTTGACTGTTGTAGCCAACAACTTTGAATGTACAGTTATGTTCTTGTTTTGAAATTCAACTATCAATAACAGAGTGTCAAAACTGGAAAGAAGTTTGATATGTTGAAGTAATTCAGTGATCCTTAATAGGAAAGATAGCTTTTTTTTGAAAGTTGAACTTGCCCAGTAATCAGCCGAGATAATTAGATATGTTTTTCCTGTCAAATCACTGTAATTCATGTACAAGCCTTTTAATTCTCTAGAGTACTTGGTCATGCAACTTACTTGCAATGTAGTGTCCAACACATGTGCTGAGATTTTTGTTCTTGTTTCTGTTTTTCAGGGGGTTTGGGAAACAAGGCTTCCAGTGCCAAGGTAAGCTGCCTCAGTGGATTTCATTGTCAAGGACATCATGAAATGAACATTCCAGACAGGAACAGTATTTTCACTCATCGCTTATTTGTGATCCAAAAGATATATTAGTTACATGATATTTTTGAAATGAGGGCTGGAAATTTGGGCCTATAAAAAAAAATGGTACGATATTGCCTAGTAATTTGCACGTGGAGCTGCCTTTTTCTCACTGGGGAAAAAAACCCTTTGCTGTAATTTTTATTTTTTGCTGAGAACATTCTTGTCAGAAACTGCTGTCTTTGTGTTATGTGGGTGGGTGTTAAGAAAAAAATGGAATCACTTTGTATTCATGTGGCATTTCTTTCTTGTTCTTCCTTTTTGTTTTTGTTCCTCCTCTCTCTTACCTATGTATTGAGTGGATTCATTGCAACTAATTTTAGGCCATACATCATTCTGGTAAGGTTTTGTTTAGATTACCAGCGGTCATCCAGAATAAAGTCGGCGTGTTCTGCAGTTAGGTCAGTGATTGAGAGTGGCTGATTGCCGCAGTGTGACTATGTGGTGCTCTTTTCTTTCAGCTTCACTATCTGGCAACATGGACTACAGTATACTATCTGTTAGTTTCTCTATCTGACCTGCAGTTGGATTTATATACATTGAACATCTTAACTTTTTATACTCTTCAGGTTATTCAAAAAACACTTTATAGCTTGTGAAGGCATCACAAGTTCATTAGCTTTCTGCGCTCTTCCTCGTCATCTGTATTATGTTTATTTAGTTCTGTTTACATTTCCCATCTGGGCAGAGGCTTATTATGAGGGCAAGTGGAAAGTATACTCTAGCCTGGAAAATATTATCCTAACACTGTTTAATATTTAGTGGATTAGGGAGAAGGAGAGAGGCACTGTGTGTACTTTTTACAACTTTGAAATTTTGCTGGTAAGTTGTTTACCTTTTAAAAACTTCTTCACATTTGTGAACTTGTTTCTAAGACAGTATACATAGTCAATGGGGGGCATTTTATGATATCATGATCATTAATACTCTACCTTTCTTACTTCCAAGATGTGCTTAAAAACCCTACTTAATCATTTTGAGAGTTATATTTGGAAATCAAGATATATTCTTTTTGAAAAGAAAAGAAAGGTATGTTACATCAGTCTATATAAAAGATGAAAGGAAGATATAGCCCCTTCTGTATTTTAAAGTTGTGGGCCTCAACTTTATAGGTGAGATTTGGGTCTAGGCTGGAACACAATTTTAGAAAGTTTAAAGATGTAAAGTTTTATTTTGATAATACTTTTGGTTTGGGTGGGGACCAGTGGCAACTGGTAAGAAAAATATTTATTGAATTTCCTCAAATATTACTTGTCCGAGAAAAAGTGAGCATGTTATTTTAAAACTGTATCACCAAAAAAAAAAAAAAAATTCAGAGTAGGGTTGGTCCCTCTTAGACTTGCTCATCTGAGCAGGTTTTGTTGGTGAATTCCTAGTGGCTGTATTATTAGGGTATCAGGGTGGTTTCCTCCAGAGAGCTTCTACTGACCTTTTAGTGGGTTGGCAGATTAGTAGTCTCACATCAACATAACTCCCTTTTAACTAAATTTAAAAAATGATACTCATAAAAATTTGAAATTGTATAAAATAAAAAGTGAAATCGCATACCCTCCTCTCTTCCCACCTGCCCAGAATAACTACTGTTTAAGACATCTGTCCATTCACTCATGCAGACCTACTTAGTTCTCAACAAGAGATCAACATTTTGTCATTCTGCAACTTGCCTTTTTCACTGAGCGTTGTATGAATTTTTAATCCCTGCTAAATGTTTACTAGTACAAATACCACTCTGGAGCATGTCCTTGGTACAGATATTTCTATACTAGATACCTAGAAATGTGTGGGAGTACATTTTAAATATTAATCAATATTGCAGAGTTGCTCTCCAAAAGGCTTGTGATTTACATTGTCAGTGTTAATGTAAGCCAATACCTGTCCCTTTCACTCTTCTTAGTGAAGATATTGGATAAATCTTTTACGTTTTTGCCAACCTTATAGGTGGAAAAGGCCTCTTTTCAATTTCCATCTCCTGGATTATTGGTAAGGTTGAACATTTTTTCAAGCATGCTTTAGCCATTTGTGTTTATTCTGTAAAATGCCTTACTTTACCTCATATTTGTAATTCAGGATTTATAAACCAGACGAAGTAGAGAAACAATTATATGTTTTATACACAGTTCTTTGCTTTGGTGAAAAATTTAACCTCAGGTTTCTTTAAATAATAAATTCTCCTACTGAATTTATGGATTTAAATTCACAGAAACCTTTTCATGGATCAAGTTTGCCTAGTATGTCTCATTTGTATTTCACGTCTAGTGGGCATATGCTAATCCACTATATTTTATTATTTTTGTAATTTAAAGATAAATAATCTCAGGACAATGTTTTAAACCCCACTAATATAGTTACCCAGTGTTTCCTATTTTAGCTGTCTCTTCAAAATTAATCTTTCTTTTTAACATCTGACCATTTTACAAAATTTAACTTTTCTCAATGTTCTCTAACCTTGTTCTGCCTTTTGGTTTGATAGTGTTAGTCTTATTGAGGAGAATATAACTCATTCCCACCAATACTTTTGGCAGAACATCTCTGGAAATGGTGGCTGGTATCTGACACTTTTGTATTTCTGGTACAGCAGAATTTTCTTGCTGGATGAGACAGTGTTTTATAGTGACTAAAATGCTTTAGTCAGCAGATAAAGCACCTGGGAAGGCATACCTTTTCTTTTTCTTGGTAAAAGAGAGATGCATATGCTTCAAATGAGAGTCACACATTTGTGTTGGTCTAAAACCTTTGTCACTTTATTAAGCAAATGATAAGAATTGGAAGACTAATAAAGTTTAGCCCTTAAAACTGTCTTTGTAAACTGTGCCATTAAGAAAACATTATATTTTACAGGCATTTGAAGCACTAAGATTATTTCCCTTCCCCCAGAGGCAGCATAAATGGAAGCAAGAAACTTTTCTGGAGAGATGTTTACTGGGGTATTTCCACTTGCCCTGTATTCTTGTACAATTGTCCTCTCCTGACAATGGATCTTACCAGGGCAGGAAACACAGGAGGATCGTTTTGTGAGAATTTGCTTCCTGAAATGATGAAACCAAGAGCCTTAAATGCGGGGGTGTGGGAGTATATGGTAGATCCAGAAGTCACAAGATACTTATTTTTCCTAAGGTCCTTAAGGTCCAGCATGTCCCCCTTGAAGCTCTGAAATAGTCCCTGTTACACAACTTGGATTTGCTTTTTGACTTTTGCCTGATTTTTCCTTGATATCCTCTCTGCTCATTTCATTTCCCTGACACCAGCGGAGGACCAGTCCTTGCCCTCTGAGTGGGCTTGGCATTGATGAAGTTGAGTTTTGTTTGAGAGATCTATTTCCAGACAGGAGTTTCTGTCCTCCGTAGGCTGCTTCCAGCACATCACAGAGTGGTCCACCCTCCTGCTCGCATGGCCTTGTCCTCTGGGGCAGTGGAGCTGAAACAGTTATCTGCTACTTTCAGTACTGGAAAAGGGAATGAGCCAGCTCGATTCTTTTCCTCTTTAGAGTTAGCAACACCCATGCAGTTCTCTAATTACAGTGGTACAAACAGCCTTGAAAACGTGACCTGCCCAGCAATTACCCACACAGTTTGTTACATCTGCCTAACTTCCACATATTCTGGTTTTTTTCTTGCTCTTTTGTTTAATATCACAAATTAAAATGAACTACTCTCTTGGACTTTTTGATTTAGATACCCCAAAGAACATCAGAGGCCCTGCCAATAACCATGATCCACTGGAGCTCTGGGTCTGAATGGTCAGCACTGGATTCGGAGAGGTCTGCAGGGAATGAGTTTCTGTGCTTTCAGTAATGCCATTGCAAGGCAGCTTTGAATCTTCAGTCATTTTTCTTGCTAAGAACACACCACATAGTGTCCTTTACCTGCAACTCTAGTGGAAACTCTGCAGTTTTCAGTAAAATGGCTGGAAAATAACATGTTGATAGCATTTTATTTTGACGACCTGTTTTAGAGTGGATGTTCCCATTGGCTCACCTGACACTAGGTGCCAGAAGATAGAAGAGGCAGGGGTCCAAGTTGGGCAAAATGGTGAAGTTGGCCAACTTGAACAGAGTATTTGTCCTTCCCTTTCCCATCCCCTGGATGTTTCTTTTTTCCATGTTAGATGCATGATGTGTTTTAACAAGGTTTGAGGGAGGCAAATCTCACACAGTGGTACAGAAACCTAGGCATCATGGTTATGATTTACAAAAAGATCTAACCACCTTCTCAACTCTCAGTGATTTCCAGCTGCCCACTGGTTTTTAAGGGTGGTGCTAGGATTTTCTATCCTTTATCTTCAAAGCAGGTGTTCACATCTTGGCGTTCCATTTCTAAATGGTTACCAACCTCCAAATTAGAAGCTATATTAACTGTAGATGAGCTCTCAGGGTTGACAGCTGTTCTGAAAAGAGGAACTATGTGGAAGAGCTACTACAACTTGATACTCTGGGGGCTTTGCACCAATGTCAGGTGATAGCATTGTGTCATTCTCAAAGTTCAAATTGGTGACATTGCCTAAAATTCAGAGAAAAGTGGGCAGTTACAATTGCTTTCTTCCTCAACCCCACCCCCATAAAAGTGTATTAGTTGGGGCCGGGGATTTAGCTCAGTGGTTTCGCTGCCTGCTGCGCAAGCACAAGGACCCGAGTTTGATCCCCGGTACCAAAACAAAAACAAAAAACAAAAAACAAACAAAAAAAAGTGTATTAGTCGTTAGAAGTAGGGATGCTTGGCTAGAACTAACGCCTACTATTCCATTTGGTGCTGTGTACTCATGCTAAAATGATTTCTGATTAATGGCTGTCTGAATCGCTGCTTTTTAACAGGAGATGAAGGGCCGGGGATTTAGCTCAGTGGTTTTGCCACCTGCTATGCAAGCGCAAAGACCCAAGTTCGATTCCCGGTACCAGAAAAAAAAAAATA